TGCATATTAAAAATGCGTTTGTGGAAAATAGAAATGGAAACCCTTTCCCTGCACAAGTAGCTTGTTCTCCCTTTCTGTGTTTCAATTAGGAATGGAAAATGTTACTCGTTTAAACATAATTATCATGATAGTTGACAGCAAAACTCTAGTCATTTGAAATAAAATTGATGCCGTTAGTTTCCTTTGGAGAAACACTTAATCAGTATGTGAATCTGTGGCCTCTCTGGCAACTTCACTAATGATTTCATTTTTTTCAGCTTTTTTTTCTCCTTTGGTTAGTAACCAAAATGAATATTTTTGTAGTTATTGCTCGCTAATCTGCTTGCTTTTTTTTTTACATGTGGTAGATGATTACTGTACAAAACTCTTTTGGAAAACATTGTTAAAGAATGAAACTCTTATAGCAGAGTTGGAACACTTCTCTTACTCGACCATTACATCATATATCTAAACTAAAGTAGGAGGAGGACAATGTTCACAATTTTGATAAATGTGTTTGAGAGCGGTATGTTGTAATGTCGTTTACAAGAACGTTATTTTATTTCCTAATTGTTACGGCTTGATCATATTTCATGGTCTAATGTCTTGTGATGACAGTGCCTGTTGTTTGGATAATGGATGTGAGCAGGAGTCCAAAGAGCTATTCCCAGGGACATGAATGAAAGAAGAATGATGTTTAAGATTCTTCCCATTGTAAAATCATAAAATGTACATCTTTGCACGTACTGTCTGCATGCACACTTGAACTATATATTCATAACACAATGTTAGACACTGCGACAGGGTAAAACAAGCCTCAAGTGAATTCCTGGGATAAATGTAAAGAAAAGTACAAATAATGGCCCAGAGCCAGTGGATTTGTGTTCTTTGGGTCAATTAGGTCATTCAGCACTATGATACATAACTGTGATACATAAAGATAACCCCTTGGTTGAAAAGTTGTTTTAGTTAACGTTCGGAAATGTTAATAATAATTGGGCCTCGGGGCCCTAAACACAAAAGCTCTGTCCCCTTTCATTTGCAGAAGAGTCGGAGGTCATGAAAACCCCTAAAAGTAATCAGTAAATCAATCCTTACACAAACAGGGAGCCAATGTAAAGAAGCTTGAACAGGTGCTTGGTTGTAGTTAAAACCCCGACATAACCAAATGTCAGCATGTGACTTTTCTCAAGTGAGTACCTTTTGTGCAAATGTTAAGAGTTTCTGCGATAGCCATTGTTCTCTTTGGCAAAGCTGACAAATATACTACTGTTTCCAGAGTTTCACAGAGGGCATTAGGTGACCAGATTTTATGTGTGTCTGCACATTTAGCATACAAAGTATGTTAAAGTGGAAGCGGGGGGTTTTAACTGACCAAACAGGCCCTCTTCATCCCACAATGCAATGTGCCTGAGGTGAGAGGGGGCTGAGAAAGTTCCCTTAGATTTACTCGGTAATCCCTTGATAAATAAACTGGGAAGACAAGACCACCGCTGCTATCTGTAAGCCAATACTCCCCTAGAGGAGGGATGGCCCTGGGCTTGGCTAGCTCTAAGCTGATGATATGTGCACAGATACACACACATACACACATACAGATACACACGTCAAAGTTGAGCCAAATACGTTAAAAAAGATCCTGGCACAGACATTTGTAAGAAAAAAGTACATGATTTAGTTTCAGTGTAATAAAATCTATTCCGTTAATATGCAAACCAGTTTCATGGCTAGCTCGCATACACATAGAATACATGCTTTGTATTTCCCTAAAGTCCACCCATGGATGACATGCATCCCACAAATCTGCCCCCTCCATCCGACTCTGTCCTCAGGCAATCACATGAGGAATGCTCCACAAAATAGCTGACATTGTGAAGGTATAACAAGGACAAACAGGTGTTCCCACACACATACACACATACGAAACCAAGTAGTCATGCTGTGCCCACATGGGATTTTCATTCTCACACGACATCATCAGGTCAGGAGATAATTGATTTATGTTCCGTGTTCTAGCCCATGTTATTTTTCAACCTGTCGTCTGATTGGCCCTCATGATTATGTGGTCGTGAAATCCGACCTATAAGAGCATGTCTCTATTTCTCAAGAGGATGCTGTTTGTTTTCCCTAGGAATGAGTTTGTGTTCTGTTTACACTGTTGTTTGCTTAGTTAGACATACGAAGGAGTTCTCAGTGTTTTTATTTTGAAATGCCGGCCTGTATCGGCACACCAGAGCAATGATAACCAAGAGGTCTGACTTTGTGTTTTTTCCATGTGCTTAAAATAATAAATTACATTTCACCTAATGAACTCTAAGTAAACTTTTGGAAGGACCATGACCATCCATCAGTTGAAATAAATAAACATTTAAACCCTAGAATTAGATTTTCCTGCGCTTTTAAGCTATTTTCATTTTCCTATAACAAAGCCCCAATTTATTTTTTATGATGTATGATTTTTGTTATTTTGATGATGCTCTTAGATTTGCTAAAATGCTTTTACAGCAGTACATATTCTGGCTAAAGAATACATTAGAATGAGAAAGAGTATACAAATCAGTTTAAAACACAATTTCCTTAGAAAAAAAACCGATTGTTACTGACTAGTGTTGGTTTCGCTCAGCCTGCCACTTCATCATTTTCCATACAAGCAAACACAAACGTTCCTTCACATGCAAAGCTCTGCAGACCTCCCAAATGTTGTAGACTGGACATGACCTCATGGGACTGCATGTCGCCTGAAATATGTGTTTTGGATCTCTGGAATTTAGTGTATAGAAATGTATTTTCTGCTGTATAGGGAAGAGCCATATGGTACACTTCAGTCTGCCATATCGGCTAAGTACTTACACATTTAGTTTATACACAGGTTTAAGCATGTTTGTGTGAAATGAATTGGCCATGACATTTATAGCTTTGGAATGAACAGTGTTTTACTGAGTCATTTTATTTAGATGCTCAAGCATTAGTGTACTTGCCGATGTTGATAATGATGAACTGAGCAATGTTAAAAGCTTTGGCTTAATCAACAAAGTATGAACTTTTATGTAAATGTTTTCCATTACCCTTCCTCGGATACTTTAATTAAGCAAGCCTAGTTTCATAAAATAATGCCTATTTACAGGTTTGAAATTCACAAGTGTTCCAATAAATGTCTGAATGCGTAATGTTGTGCAGACGGTATGCAAATGAATGTAACCGTGGCTGTCTGCAGAAGCATGCAAAGGACATTTGGCTTACTATGTTGATAGGACTTCATGGCCAAAACAGTTGCTGTCTTCTATCTTTTCTCACTGCCATAATGTAATGTGTGTGTGGCATGTGTATGTGTGACTATGTGCATGTGTGGCTGTGAAATCCTCTACCACATGTGAGCATGTTTTATTGGTCTGGAGGGAGTTAAGGTTAATGCAATAAAACAACCTTCCCCGTGCCTTACGTCTGCCTTTTAGAGAGGATTTAAGACCGGAGTGGAGTTAGAAAAAGTTGAGAGAAAGGCTAGAGGGAAGAGAGCAAACGGTGCAATGAAGATTACAAATGTTCAGGTGGTTAGGTCAGCTAGGAAGTATCTTTTGGGTTCCTGAGCAAATGACAATCCCACTGCCTAAGACAACTGTTGTGTGGAAAAACTCATTTAAAGTCCATTTATAAGGCATATGAGATGACTGACTTGCCTAACCCTGCAGGGTAAGTGTATTTTTAGCAGTCTGGCAAGACACTTTCTGTGACTGTTAACACATATTACAGCTGCTTCCAGAATGACTTATCTAAACTCTTCCCAACATGTGGACACAGACCCCTTCAAACAACCATTTAAAGACAGATGCTTTCCAGTTACTTCCCAGATGAGGTTTATGTATTTGTTTGTGCATTCCATTGTTTTAGACCCCTGACAGGCCGCTCTGAACACTTGCAGTATGAGTCAAGTTTGTGCTATTGCTTTGATGTTTTGCTAGGACAGATGTCCAGATATCAGTGTGATTATTATCCTCAGTAAATAAATTGTTTAAGAGATTAGTATAGACTGTATGCAGACCATGCAGATAGATACAATGTCTAATCATTTGTTTATTGATACTCTATTATGTTTACCCTCAAAACAACAATTGTGATTTCAAAAGATTTAGCCCTAATTCATATGAATGGTAACTAAGATACAGAATACACGAACCAATTGCCATTAATCTGTTCTGGGGAAAGTATTGTTGTGCTTATTTATATTCATGCAAACATCACTTAAAATGAGGTTAAACTTTATTGGTCTCGCTGCTTCTTTATGTAAGGCTTCATTTTCTCAATCGGTGATAAATAAGTTTTGCTGCTGAATATTTCTGAGCCCTTAGATAGTGGCTCATCCCTAGTCTAGACAAAGCAGCATACGGTAAATACACTGGTCACTCTACTCCGTCCAATGTGCAAGAGCCATTACACTCTGTCTCTCTGGCTAATTGAGGATCACTTAATAACACTGGCCAGAAGCTTTTAAGCCAATGAGATTTCATTGATTTTACCTCTTGGTTTGAAGCACACGTCCCTTCATTCTCCTGATCCTGCTGTCCCTGCTGCTGGCTTTAATAGCCCAATAGAGATGCTCACCATTGCTGCCAACTGCGCGCACGTGCATTCACCTCTATGAGGTAGTGGAATGTTCTACAATTACTGTCAGCCTGCTGGCAGTAACTCACTCATCAGACCATTTCCTTTCATCACGTCCCTCTTTTTACTCCCACCGTTTTCCCATGTTGTCTGTTACTCTGAAGTTCACTGCTCTATAATTCGTTCACCTCTCTTCACCCTGCTATCATTCAACTGAAATGAAGCGATCCCTCATTTCAGATTGATGCCATCACCCTGAAAAAAAAAAACATTCACTTTGAATACTTTAGTTTAGTTTAAATATGCTTTTAACTGTGCAGGTGTCATTTGGTGGTTTATTGAACTCATCCTGCAGCCCCACCCATGCTGTTTTATGTTTTCCTGGCCTAACAGGTGTGTGTCTGTTTCCTCTATCCTCCCCACAGGTGGACAAGGTGTGTGGCCTGTCTACTGGAGCACCCACAAGCATGCGGCCTACTAGCCCTGAGGTCACAACCTCTTCTGTGACCTCAACTTCTCTTCCTCCGTCTGCCGCCCCCTCCCAATCCTTACCAGAGCAGTGGCAGTCGCAGTTAGCCCACTTGAGGAGGTAAGACCAAGAAATAAACTGAACTGTGGTTTAATCAGTCAGTTTAAGATTGCCTGCGTTGAAAATATTTCTCTTGTTCTGGCAACAATTCAGCTTTTTCATTGGAAATTAGTTACACAGTGGACTAGATGTAAATGTAAATGAAATGGTCAGGTCTGTATGATATTGCCTGAAGGGTTGGCCGAGGTCTATTCCCAGCTGCCATCACTTCTCTATTGCTTCATATGGTTAGTTGGACACAACACAAACAGCCGTAGTATGTAAATGCAGTGCCTGGCACTAAAGTCTGTGCCCTCCACCTGGCCTCTGAGGCAGCCATCCCATGCCCACAGCAGCTGGCAGTGATGTGCCAGCAGAGGGGGAGTGTGGGTAAGATTAATCTTGACGGACCAGCAGTTTCCTGTTTACCCAGACGGCCATACCACCAACCCTGCTCACCAGCCGTCCTCAGCGTGAATAGCACCACAGACAGAAACACACAGACGTGCAGCGTTGTCTGCCTGACCTTGTCCCAAACCATGAATCACTGCTCTGATGCCAGCCGAGCTGACAGGTCTGGCCTGGCACTGCCACCGCCATTCATGGCAACACAATCCACCTCCCTGCCTGCTGCCAACCCTGACCAAGGCACATGTGAGCGCTGACCACTTCAGAGACATGGCAGCACCCACTGCAGTACAGGGAGAACAGTCTCCTGCTGAAAAATATGAAACGTGATGCAGAAAAGCAACATTTATGTTTCGTTTTAATAGGAAATATTATGAATGTAGAAGTTCAGCAGAACTTTCTTTGGCTTTCCTGTGAATATTTAACTATTTGCACATGTGCATATGTTTGCTTGTGTGTTATTGATTGTGACTTAACATATACATTGCTATGCATACCAGTATCTGTTTTAATTGTTGGTGTGGTGTGGGGGGAAATGCATATTGATTTATGTGTGGTGTGGTTAGTCTCTGCATGTGCATGGTTAATCTCTTTCTTCCAGGGTCAACTGACTATCTTTTCTCCCTCCTCCCTGTGTGTCTTGTGTTGTCATCCTTTTGTTCATTTTTTCTTTCTTCCACGCCCCACCTTTCACATCCATGCATCTTCCTTGCTTGCAACATTCTCCCCTGGACTACAACTCCCATCATTCACAGCTCGTTCCCCCTGAAACCCTCCAAGAACAATAAACATAATCTGAGAACCCTCTCTAGGTAAGCATGAACCCCAGGGACTTATTTCTCTCACCCACTCACACACTTTATCCAGCAAAGACTCATATTGTGACTTGTTCAGAAACATGTGACACTTTTTTTCAACTTTTCTTTTTGTTTACAGTTGATTGTATTTGTCATGTCTTCAAAAAACTGCCATGTTCATGTCATTTGCGGTTCTTAGAAGTGATTCCTGTCACTGACTCAGCAAATAACCTTTCATGACCTCTGCTGTTTTTGCTCCGTCTCATGGGTGGCAACAACGGGTGCCTGATCAAAATATTATTGCATTGTTTTGCTCGGGATGACTGCCTTTATCGATAACATGTGTTAGCAGATCTGATGAAGCAAGCACTTTGCTGCAGAGCATAATTGAGAAAAATGTGCTGACATAGTGAAATGGTCACATTCAAAGCAACTCATTTACTTCCACCATCAATATCTCAACTATATATATCACATGCATGTATTATTGAATGGAATGCAGATACAGAGTATTTGTTGACGATTTGGTACCAAGTAATGAGAAGTGTATCTACAAACCACACCAAAACAATTCTAAAATCTCACAATTCCTCAATTTTCTCTTTCTAAACCTGGACTATGATATGTAATATTTACTAAAATGATGTACTATCCCCATGTGTCCGTTTTTCCTCAGGGAGTTCTTGATGTACCTGCAGCGCTACAAGTCTTTCTTTGCAGCATTGCCAGAGATGCTGTGCGAAGGGGACAATGTTGTTGACGACTCCACATGCTGGAGCGGAGGAGACGTGGTGGAGAGGTAAGACATAATGTTCAGTCCCTCACCCCCTACAGTCTGCATAAACTTGCAGTTGTCGAAAGCAAAGACTTGACAAATACCTGTGAGACATTCATTCCCTCGTAGAAAATCACATAACTGATACTGAACTTACTGTCACTTAATTGTGTTTGTTTAACTTAAAGGTAGGGTAGGTACGTTTGAGAAACCGGCTTGAGATACACTTTTTGTTATATTCCATGGAATGCTCTTAACATCCCGATAGCAATGAATATCTTAAGTGCTTTGACAAAAAAATCCATAAAAAAATGTCATCTGTGGAAGCCGTACTACTGTAAAAAGCATGACCAATCATTTTAGCCGGCCCGGCTAAAATAACTGGATGGCCTACCTGCCTGTCAGCTTTCCATCTGTGCACAAACTTATCTCGTGCCCTCATTGGTCATGTGCACGTTCGTGTGTGTTGGAGGAGGGGCTCTGTAAGGAAGTGGCAGATTTTCTCCGGTTGTGTATTTTCAAATTCTAGCGATCTCGAGCCGGTTTCTCAAACTTACCTACCCTACCTTTAACTTAAATTGTAACATTTTCAATTACATCCCATTAAGCTAACCCTTATTTGACTTCTACTCCCAAAATCCATTGTCCTTTTAATGGATTAATTTTAGACACATTCTGTTTTGAGAGCATTTTGTTTCTTGTGATTAAGAAACGTTTTGTCTTGTTATATAACTTTATCACTGCCAGTTGTTGCATAAACGTTTTTTGGCTGAACTTTCATTTTCTGTATGTGACAATGAATTAGGTGCTGGCTTGTATGCCTCCTTTCAAACAGGACATTCAGTTCGACTTAATATTTATTCATTCTAAAACCTTAGTTTGAAAATAATGAGTTTTGAACAAATTTCAGAAAAAGTAACAAACCCTTTGTGTTTTGTTGTGTGCATGTGATCGATGTCAGTATGTGAGTTAGTGTGGCTGGCTGTTGTTAATCAATGTGGCAAATAAGGAAGTAATTAAATCCATCTCCACATTGAGGCCCCGTCTACACGGAGACGAAAACAAACTTTATTCGATATCAAAAAAGTCTTCCGTCCACACGGAATCGGCTCAAGAAACATGTACGTCCACTGGAAACGCTGTAGTACATATGCCGGGCCTGTAAGTGGCGCTGTACTTCCGCCTCAAAATACACCAAAAGCAGCGAATAAGACCCCCCGAGCATGGTTGCCTGGTTGCCCTTCTGTTTATTCTCCGCGGTGGATTTAGCAACATGTAGTTCATGTAGTTCTCCATGTCCACTTGTTGCTGATGGTTGTGGTACAGGAGCTGTAGATTTTGCACTAACATCAGTAGCATGGTCAGTAGCGTCTGGAGCAAGAAAGCAACCCTGTGATCCGCCATTGTTGTTGGAGAAACAAATCAGCAATGACGCGGGTGACGCGGGGGCGAGCAGCAGAGGTGGGGAGAGGCGGGGCTATGGCGTCATCGTTATCAGGAAATGATCATATAGGCATGGGTCGGCAACCCGCGGCTCTCGAGCCGCATGCGGCTCTTTAAGCCCTCTACTCTGGCTCCCTTGAGCTTCGACAAAAATAAGAAGGAAATAAAATAAAAATATATATATATATTTATATTTTGTTGCATGGTTGAAAATGTTTCGTATCTTGTATTTTGAGGTGATACTGTGACACATAAATTAAAAAAAGAAACGGTTTTAATTAGGTCAACTAAAATATGCGTCATATCCTACGGTCCCGCACCAGCGCCTTTTCTTGCAGGCGAATAACCTGACCCCCGGCTCGATGAGCGAACTATGGATAAATCAAAGAAAATAAAAGAATCGGAGGGACACAGAGGGTTTAATTCTGCGTGGTTAGTTATATGCTTTCACAGCAAACGATGCTGGCTTACCGGTATGTTTGATATGTGGAGAGAAGTTGCAAGTGCTGCAGCCTTTACGTATTGGAGGAAAAACACGGAAGAGGAAGACAGCTGACGATCTTCAGTCATAATTCAATCAATTGGGGTGCAGCTATATGTTTTATTTATTTCAAAGTGGGCCCATTTTAATTATATTCATTTTCTTCAAATGTGCAGAGGACTCCCCAAGTACTGTCTTGATTTATTAGTAGGCCTGTGTATTTTTTTTAATTCTCCTTATACGAGTTCTTTGTTTATTATTAGAGGTAGGCCTAAACAGTTTTCTATAATGTAATAAATAATAAATGCAAAAAAACTGTAGTTTTTGTCTATGATGTAACAATATATACAACTTTATAAGCTATCAAGCTATCAAATATGTTTTGCAGCTCCAGACAAAAACAATTGGTGGAAAAGGGGGCAAAACGGCTCTTTTGGTCAAAAAGGTTGCAGACCCCTGGTATAGGGCGTACATACACACGGAGCCGTTTGGGCCCCCCAGAGCGTTTCGTCCGCAGATCTACCCACCTTGGGAGCCGTTATCGTTATCCGCGTTTCTGTGTCGGCCTCGTGTGGATGAACCGTCTATGCGATAGAGAACTGTAGCGGATACAACCCGTTTCCTCTCCGTGTGGACGGGCCTGAGTGAATGCAGGCAGAGCAAATAGTTGGTACGCTCCCCTCTCCTTTGTATTAGAGTCAGTTTAGAGGTTGTTGTTATACTCCATTATGTTTCTTTCTTTTATTTGTGAGGATTTTATTGTGTGCTGATTTATAGGTGTGGCCCTAGAACCCTTTTCCTGCTTATGGTTTTGTGTGTGTGTGTGTGTGTGTGTGTGTGTGTGTGTGTGTGTGTGTGTGTGTGTGTGTGTGTGTGTGTGTGTGTGTGTGTGTGTGTGTGTGTGTGTGTGTGTGTGTGTGTGTGTGTGTGTGTGTGTGTGTGTGTGTGTGTGTGTGTGTGTGTGTGTGTGTGTGTGTGTGTGTGTGTGTGTGTGTGTGTGTGTGTGTGTGTGTGTGTGTGTGTGTGTGTGTGTGTGTGTGTGTGTGTGTGTGTGTGTGTGTGTGTGTGTGTGTGTGTGTCTCTTTGTGGTTATGTGCTTTCTCAGTCAGCATGAGAAGAACGGAGAATTGATGCAGAATACTGAGCCAATGCAAAATCTGTAACTGATTCCCCATGCTGGATCTGTTTCTTAAATGCTTTAGTAACTCGGTCCACAATTATGACAAGGTTATGCTCTCCTTCTGCGGTGGCCTTAAAGTGGCTCCCATTACCATGGCAACCTCAGCTCTTGGCAATGCCAGTATTGGCCCTGGAAGTAGCAGACTAGAGGTCCGGGGGATGCCTTTTTCCCCCATGATCCACCCTGAGTATTTGTCAGATCCTTTGGCCTGTGTCCGTCTTGCTTGATTAAGCCATACACTATGCTTTTCACAAGTACATGGGAAAACATTAGGCTCATGAACAGATGCCTCTGATTCCAAAAAGACCCTTTTATTTTCCTCAGTGGTTGGCAAAACATTTTGTCAGACATTTATATGAATAAGTTGAGCTTTGATTAGCTTTGTAAATGTCCTTCTCTCCTCTCCTCTCCTCTCCTCTCCTCTCCTCTCCTCTTCTCTTCTCTCCTATTCTATCACTTCTTTTCTCTTCTCTCTTCTTCTTTTCTCTTCTCTTTTCTCTTCTTTTATTCTCTCATCCTCTCTTCAAGTTCTGGCTCAGTACTGCCCTGCCCTTTCCCACTGCAGAGGATCTGCCAGTGACTGAGACATGTTGAGCAGACCACACATTCATCAGGGCCTGTCACAATGTGCCGGCACATAAAGTACCATAGTCAGTCACTGTGTGTGTGCTAGGTTCATGACCTGGGATATATGAGCAAGAAAAAACCATTCAGCACCTATAACACAATAGCTCTACAATAATGTCAAGATACGGCTTCTTTGTTTTTATTTATAGCCAGTTCTTTATTTTGGTCCTCTGTGTTTGTAAGTAAGTGTGTGTCACTTTTACTACCAAGGCTATTGGTTTTTCAAGAACAGTGCTAATGGGTTGTTACGGTGTGTTATCACACACTCCCTGGTGAGAGCCAGGACTTGCTTGCGGTGTCAAGTGTTCTTTGGTTGAATACGAAAACCGTACCCTACTGAGGCATTTGGCACCACTCATATACTGCTCAGATCAAGCTGTGGCTATTCAGCAAACCTCTTCCCCTGTATCTGACTCTGTTGGCATGAATTAGAGAGGGACAGGAGGAGGCATGAAAAGGCTTGGCGTTTTGGTGCCACGGTGCCCCCTGTGCCTCCCGGTGCCCCTGATGAGGGAAGCATGATGGAGTGATGTGGAGGAGGAGGGCCTTGGCAGTATAAAGACCCATTGTGGAGTCAGTGGAGTGGGGCACAGGCCTGCCGTGGGGACCCCTAAAGCCTGGAGGGGGAACAAAGACCCTCCTATGAGGCTGCATGGGAAATACTTGGACATCACTGCCAATACTACAGCCACTGGCCGAACCATGCCTGGGAAAAACGCATGAGAACTGCAAAGGCGGCAAGAGAAGAAGTCTAGAAAATATGAGAAGAGATGAGAAAAGGTGTGTAAAGATGACACCCAAATTATTGTCGAAAATGCTGTTAGTCGATGTCTTAGTTGGACTTCCTGTTTGGTAGGAACACACAAAGCCTCTGAAGGCCTTGTGGGTTTTCCCCTCTCACAGGAGGACTTAGACACACACGGGCACACACACTCTCATATCACTCCACACAGGATCCATATGCTAGTCAACAGCTGGAGGGCTTATTCATTCAGACACAATCAAACTGCTCATGCAAGAAGACACACTTCCACATGTGTGAACACACACACACACACACACACACACACATGTTGTATGTTGTAATACTTCAAAGCACATCAAAGGCAACAGGGATAGAAATTCCCTCCCTCTCTTTATTCAGCATCTGATGACAGAGGGGCGAGCGGGGGGCAAGCAGTTGTACGTACAACTAAAAATGCCTGTTGGCATGTGTTCAAACCTCTCTGAACATTTACAGCATCACATGTGTGAATACTTTTCACAATCTATTTGGGAAGATAAGATCAACCA